GTGTAAGAGGGGAAAGAATTCTCTCTCTATAGCTTGTGAGCAGCAATTCAGTGTCTCTAATGTGCTTTTTGGAAGCAAGCCTGTAATTCTCATGCAGATCCCTGGAAATCAGTTTAATTATCAAGCCAGCAAATCAGACTTGTACTGCTAGGAACAAGTCAGGGGGGGTAACAAGGGCGAAACAGCTTGATAAAGGGTGCCCATCTCTTCCTGAATGGCCCAAAGTCATCAGAAATCACAGTCTTGTGGCCTCCCAGTATCTAGTCTCACTGAGATACACCTTCACTCTTGCTCTGGCAGAACTCTTCTTTATAATATCCATGAAGAATAGTGCTTGCTTTTCTTGAGTCCAAGTTTAAGTCCTTCAGGTTTGCCTCTCACACACTGGGATCTGAAAGAGATGAAGGAGAACACAAGGTAAGGAAGGGCTTGCCAGGTGTAGGAGTACAAGGGTGCATTTCTTGATGTCCCTCAGACTTAGAAACATGTACACTAATACTGGTATTGGGTAAGGGATGTCAAGTGCATGTCCCTCTTGCAAGAGAACTCCATTCACTCACAACTTAAATACATGCAAATATTAAGCAAGCCTCTCTGATCCTGTTTGTGTAGATCTCTCTTTGCTCAGGGAGATGTCTAACACTTTTCTGTCCTTACTACATGGATACTTTAGAAAAGACAAACCAAAGGGGTGAGGAATAGAAATTGCAAGACTGTGGAGCATTCTTTCTCTCACTTGTAAAAGTAAAATAACCCTTGCTGGTTGCAGTGTCAGGATATCAGGTAAAGGCAAGGGTTAGAGACAAGTGCTTTCCCAGGAGATTTGTGTACTTTGATGAAAGGAGTTCTCAGATCAGAAAAAAACATACCAGTTTGGGCTTCAGCTGGAAAATTAGGATACTCCTTTCCTCACTGCATAATACATTTGCTGAAAAATACAGTTTCAGAGTGACCAAAGCTGTTTGCCAATTAGTATTTCACAGCCATCTAATAAATTGAACCTTAGGAAGGGGAACATTCCTTTCAGCAATCTGAGTTTTGACCAAATGATTGGGAGAACAAAAGGGTTTAAGTTTTTAGCAGTATTTCACACCACTCCAGGAACTAGACTGGTTAAAGACTACATCTGACTACAGATGCATGAGAATACTTTAGTATGCAAATAGGAATGGCACTGAGTCCTGGGAGTTAACTCCCCTTTGTTAATATCTTTTCTGAGTGAATTACCTGTGCTGCTCTTCATTGTTCTGATGTATGTTGTGCCTATCTAATTTATTTTATAATCCTTTAGAAGCAGGAATTAAATCTTTTTGGATGTTAGTCAGTCTCTGATGGCTTCAAGATAATGACCATTTTCTTAAACAGAGCATCTTTCGTGATTACAAGCGAGCATGGTGATAGCTTTTTGTTTGGAGATGGCATCTTTAGCCCAGGTTATTTGTCTAACTGGTAGGAGAGACTTCTACTTCGTTATTTAACAAGCTGTCTCATGTGGAGATGAGAGAGAGAGAGAGAGACCTATGGGATCCTGAATTTGCCACTCCACAAAATTGCAGAACCAAAACCTACCCTACCTTTCCCTGGTAGTAACCTCTTTCTCCATTTTCTGCAGTAGATGAAACCATGGGTTTAGGGTTGAACAGTACTCTTAGCAAATGGCCACCTTGCCAGAGGTCTCTGGTGTCTGTATTGCAGGCCACTATTAGCCTCACGTTTGTGACACTCCTGTAGAGGTCCGGAGCTTACTGAGAAACCAAGCAGGTGAATGCAGTGGATGATGCTGCAGCCACCTCTCTGAGACTCTGATGTTTAGTTTCAGTTTGAGTTTACATGGAAGTAATGTTGCTTGAGCTGACATATTTGCCTGTCAGGCCTGCTGACGTTTTGAAGGTGTAATACCCACTTGCTGAGACCAGAGCACTATTTCATTTGTCTGAGATTGGATCTGGGGTTTGAGGGCTGCAAAGGTGCCCTGAGCTGCACCCACAAACACGGACGTGCAAGGCAGCTCTGGAGTTTGACAGCCCCTCCTAGTGTGTTTGGATCTGTATTTGAGGGCAGCGGGATCTAAAACCAGGTTACAGCATCCAGCTGCCTCAGGGGGGATCACTACCATCCTTTTTCCCTTTGCTGAATTACAGCCCCATTTATCCCACACATGATGGCAAATGTGGGAGCCCTGGTGTTCTGGGCAGCTGGGCCTTCCTTCTCTAAGGCCCTTGCTGACAGCATCCAGGTGGGGATGGTACTGAGGGTCTCTACTGCTACCACATCTACTGTTATATAGAGGCCCAGGGGCACATAACCCACCCAGTGTGCTAGGTGGTCTGCTGTTAATAATGACAGCTCACTATGTATGTAGGTCAATAAGCCTGTTTTGTTAGAGAAAGTCTTTCAGCTCGGGGCCTGTGTGAAGATGCAAAGATTTCACAGGATTTCAGTCCTTGTTGCTCAGTGGGGAAGTGTTGTCTTATTGTGTTTCCTTGCACTGTCCCTTTAAGACCAAAGCCCTCATGTCCAGCACTGCAGGTTCAGTTGCTCCTGGCAGTTTTGCAGCTCTGGGGACTCCATCGTCTCTGCCATGAGGAGCCAGAGGCTGTCTTGGTTCCTCTCCCTCCGCAGGCCAGGGCTGGGTCGAGTTAGAGGCAGACCAGGTATAAGATCTGCATACATATACTGATGCACCCCCCACCCCCCGATATGATTCCAGAGAGTTATAATAATAAATGACTGTTAGTTCAACACAGCAGTGTCCAGAGCATTGTTGCTGAACTCACAACATCTCATCTGGCTACAAGGATGGGATCCTTTGCTGAAAAGATCCCCCTAGATTGTGGGACGACATTCTGAGACCAGGCTGTGTTTTGTGATCAGAGGGAAGTTTTTTTCTTCTTCTCCTTCTTCTTTTCTCTCTAATACGGCTCATGTTAGCTAAATGGCCGCACTGGGTCACATAGAAGCATTTGATGGGAGCCAGCCGGCTTCTTGGGACTCTTATGCTGAGAGACTATCCTATTACCTGGAAGGCAACAAAGTGGAAAACCTAGCACAGAAGCACGCCATCCTCCTGTCAGTCTGTGGTGCCAAAACAGTTGCCATTGTTCGTTCCCTCACAGCACCTGCCTTGCCAAACACTAAGTCTTATGCTGAACTAATTGCCCTGCTAAAGGCACATTTTTGCCCAAGGCCATCTGTTACCCTGCAGAGATTTCATTTTTTTAAACGGGACCAAAAGGCCAATGAAGGCATAGCAGATGAGCTGGCTGAGCTCTCTTGCCTTGCCGAATTTTGTGAGTTTGGTGATCTCCTGGATGGCTTGCTTTGTGACTGTCTTATCTGTGGGATTCAAGATGAAGCAATCCAATGTTGCCTGCTCTCTGAACCAAATTTGACCTTGGCTGCTGCACAAGAAAAAGCCTTGGCAGCTGAAGCAGCATCCCGTAACATGAGAGAAATTCGCCAGGCATTCTCTTGCAATGTCCACTTGCTCCAAAAAGATCAAGAATCAGATCATCACCAGCAAATTCAGCGGATTATACCTTTACCAACAGCACCACATAAACCAATTAATCCACAGACATGTTTGAGTTGTGGCAGCCAACACAGACGAAGGGAGTGCAGGTTTAGGAATGCGGAGCGTCATGGCTGCAAGAAGGGCCACACAGAGGGTTTGCTGCTGGAAGGCCAGTTCCCGGAGACAAAAAGACTCGGGCAAATGTATTCATTCCCAAACCAGTCACAGATTAGGGTCCTCCCCAGAACGTGAGGTACAAAAACTATATTTGATTAAAAATGTTGGTGGTGTTGAAACTCAAGGTTCTGAGATGATTGCAACTGTAGTAATAAATGGAAAGATGTGCAAAATGGGAGGGGACTTGGATTCAGGAGTATCCCTTACAGATAAAAACACATTCTTCCAGGTGTTTCGGCACCCTGTCCGCAAGTTATTGAAACCTGAGTGTCGTCTGCGTGACTACAATGGACAGTGTGGAAACGTTGGGTAGTTGCCATGTCAATGTCCAGTATAGATCTGTTAGACAGCATCTACCCCTCATTGTCACTAAGGGCTCCCGCAAAAGTCTTCTGGGGAGAAATTGGTTCTCGCCATTGGGAATCAGTATTCAAGGTGTACACAGTGTCTGCAGAGCAAGTCTGGAAAGGCTTGCAAGGGAGTTTCCCCAGGTATTCTCCGAGGAATTAGAAACTTACTCTGGTCCACCTGTAATGTTCCAAATGAATCCTGCGATAGCCCCTATCTTTATGAAGGTTCGGAATATACCTTTCGCACCACGGCCGAAAATTGATGCAGAATTAGATCGGCTTATCGTGCAAGGGGTCCTCGAGCCAATTGTACATACAAGCTGGGCCACACCAATTGTTCCTGTTTTAAAACCTAATGGCAGTGTTTGCATCTGGGGATTATAAGTGCACTGCTAATAAAGCACTTAAGCAGGATCCGCACCCACTTCCTACCATTAACCAGTTCCTGTCTGTTCTTGCAGAAGGGAAGGTTTTTCCCAAACTTGACTTCGCTTAAGCCTATCAGCAATTGATAGTGGAGGAGTAGGCTGCTGAGGCCCAAACAATAATTGCACACCGGGGAGCGTTCTGTATCAAGCGCCTCCGGTTGGGAATTTCTGTGGCACCAGGAATTTTCCAGCGGTTCATGGAGAAAATGTTAGCAGGAATTCCCAGGGTTGTTCCATACTTTGATGACGTGTTGATCATGGGGCTGTCTAGAGAGAAACTCACTGAGAGACTCAGAGAACTTTTACAGAAATTTGATAAAGCAGGTATCAGAGTAAAAAGAGAGAAATGTCAACTGAAAGTTTCCAGTATTAACTTTCTGGGATATCAAATTGATGCTTCTGGCATTCACTCAGTTGCAGACAAGGTAAAAGCAATTCATGATGCCCCTACACCAAAATGCAGACAGGATCTTCAAGCATTCTTAGGACTTCTC